TGTGTGTGTGTGTGTGTGTGTGTGTGTGTGTGTGTGTGTGTGTGTGTATGTGTATCTCAATAGGGATACAAGTGAGGATAGGGAATGAGCTTAAGAGAGATTATAACACTGGGGAGATAATCGTAATAACAACAAAAAATGGTCCCAGTCCTGAAGGGAGGATTAAAAGATGGGGATGACAGAAAATAACTAGAGTGAAATGCATTTCTATTGGTACTAGCTTCAACCTGCCAGAGCCCTTCGTGAACACTGGCAGGGCCAGTGAGAATGTCTGCTTCTCACCCTGACACTGATGTTTTCTTTACTATCCCTGGGGATTCATCTCTCTCAGGGATCAAACCTTCACAAAGGCAATTGGAGGAGCCAGATTCCAAGCCTGCTGTTTAATTTAAGCAGTTTAACTTTGTCCGATGAATGGGAATTGATGGTCATGATGAAAACAATGCTGTTTCCTCTCCTTTACAATTCAGTTTCCAGAAATGCTAGCGGGCATGTCTCCATTAATCTCAACTACCACTAAGAGATAGAAGAAAGGAGAAAGTCTCTGAGAAATGTAAAGTCCTCAGGAACTGGTTGATACAATGGAATAAAAATATATTGAGAATAAAACCAAGCCAGTCTAAGGTTTAGCATCCTGATGCCAATGCCAAGTGGCTGGATACACTGTGTGTTTCTTCCATGTTTATGTACTTTTCTGGATCAGTCAGTAAATCAGTCAACAAACATTTTTTAAGTACCTCCTATGTTCCAAGTACTGTGTTAAACACTAGGGATACAAAAAAAAAGAGGCAAAAGACAGTTCCTGCCCTCAAGGAGTTTACAATCTAATGTGGGAGATAACAAGCAAACTAATATGTGCAAACAAGCTACATACAGGATAATTAGGAAGTGAATAAAAGAGGGAAGAAAGGAACGCTAAGCAATGTGGTGGGCAAAGCCCTGAGTTTCAAACCAAAAGACCTAAATTCAAATCCCGGCTCTTCTACCTATAAGCTGGTTGACCTTAGGCAAGCCCCTGGCCCTCTATGTACCTCAACTTGCTCTTGTATAAAAATTAGGACTATGTACTAGAAGATTCTCAAGTTTCCTTACAGGTCTGTTTTACATACTGTGACTCGAGGACTCCAGTTCTGTCCCTTGATGCCTCAGCACTGCTGAAGAATCCGTAGGGGGTCACCAGGGATAGTGAGCTCAGATAATTCCAAGGTTTGACTTTGAGACAGAAAATTTGGAAAATATATAAGTTGCTAACAGTTTTCCATTGGTGGTCAGATGATCATTGGTCAGTTATGGTGTAGGGCAAATTCATGCCTGTGGGATTCTCATCTAAGGAGATTTAGATAGTGAAGGTTTATCAAGAAAATTCAGAAAGGGGACTCTGGTTCTACTGGATAGATAGCAGGTCTTTAAACAGAAGTCTCTGCAGCATAAGAAGGGATTGTTCTATTCCTTGTATTTCTGCCCCCAGTGGCTAGCACATAGTAGGTACTTAATAAATGCTTAGTAATAATTGATATTCATTACTGATAACTCCTTCAACTCAGTGCTCTATGAATCAGAACCTCTCCAAACTGGATCATTCCTGTGTAAAATGAATAGTCTAAACCTTCTGAGGTGAAGAACCGTACTTGACTGAGCAGCTCGCCTTAACCACCGTAAGGAAGGGCAGATCTGAGAGGGCTAAATCTGCTCAGAATGTCAAATTACGGCCTCGTAGCCAAAAGACTGGACTGGACTAGACCTGTGATTTCACTTGCATTGGGAACACTTTGTTTATAAATGGAATAAAATTTGTAACTGTTGGATTTAGATTAAGGTCATAATCTCAGCTCAGCTAGGTACCTGGAACATGTTGCTTCTCCCTGAGCTTCAGTCGATTTGTCTGTAAAATGGGAATATTATTTTATATACTTCATAGACTTATTATAAGGAAAGCACATTTGCTACCTTAAAGTAAAGCATTATGTAAAAATTACGTGAGCTATTAATACTGTGAGTATAAAGAGGCCCCATCTGGTTAGAGCCCTAGGGAAGCAGAGCAGTGTTTGCCAGAGTTAGTGCTGCTAAGTGTTTTCTTACACATGTGGAAATCCTGGGCACTTTAAATGGCTCTGGTGCTAACAGACAAAGCATGGTGGGAGCTGAAAGGAATTTATTCTCCTCAACCTAAATATCCAGTGAGCTTTGGGGACTTCCTTCTGAGGGGAAGCAAGGTTGTCAGGGTCAGGCTTTCACCTGTTTTAGGCCAAACAAAAGTGCTGGAAATATGCCTATGGTAAGGAGTAGAGGCCTGTTTTAGCCTAAGGCTGCCTCACAATTCCCATTGCTAGTATGCTATGATGGTGGTGTTATTATTACTATTGTTCTTGCTATTATTATTTGAGGTTTAAATAGCATTTGTAGGGCTTTCCACACAATCTTATGAGGTACTAAGATAAGCCAAGACTGAAAAATGAGGAAATAGTTTCAGGAAGATAAAGTTTCCACTCCAGAGTTGAACAATGAGTTAGTACCTCTAGTGTGCAAATATATGCCTCAGCGTTCTAACCATTATACCCCTCCCTCGGCACTGTGTTACCTCCCTTTGTTCCTGTGCCCTTTGCCCAACACTCCCTCCCTGTCACTACCCCTGATGTTAACAGTCTCCCTGGTCCCTGCTTGGCATGATGGCACTGGAAACTGCTGCTCTACAGAGGCCATTCATGGTAGAAATGGACAACTTGCTCTGCACTCTTTACTTCTCCTGCCTCAAGGCTGATGTGATGATAAATGGAATTCTCAGAATTGAAAGCGATCAGAGGGGCAGGTGGGGTAGTGGATAAAGCACTAGACTTGTCATCAGAAAAACTTAGATTCAAGTCCAAACTCAGACACTTAGTAGCTTTGTGACCTGGTCAAATCATTTAATTCCTCTTGCCCTCAGGCTTCCCATCCGTAAAATGGGTTTGAACTAAGTAGTGGTTCCTTTTCCACTCTAAATTTATGATCATATGACCTCAGGGACCATCTAGTCTAATACTTGAACATGAACCTCCTTCTAGATCATTGTTGGCCAAGTAATCCTCCAGCTTCTGCTTAAAGAGGTCCAGTGGGGAGAAGCTACCTACTAGGGCTGCCAATTCCAAATAGCTAAACAGTGTTTCCTCCCAACCCCAACATCAATGTAAAAATGTCATAGTTAATTTTTTAAGTTTATTTTTTAATGTTTTTTAAAGGTATTATATAACTTTAAGCTATCCTTTTTTCTGCTACTTTATCTCAATAAGTACCCAATGGCACAGCAGCAGCAAATATCCTCAGATCCCCTTTCCTTCTCTCCCTCTACCCCCAGCAGCATTTGTCAGGCAACCCTGAAGTCTAAAACCAAGAGCTCAGCCTGGCTGTGATCTAGGCCAGAGAAAGAGGAAGGGGAAGAGTTGGATTAAAATCATTGCTTAAAACAGCTTTTCCCTAAATAAATATATCAGGTTTGTAATTCAGACTCAAACCTTTTAAAAATGGATCAATCTTCACAGTGGAACAA